TTAAATCTTAAGGATTTAATTATCAACAAATTCCAGAACTTTGAAGGAGAAAACCCTTTAGACTTATGGAATAAACACAAGACAAGTATAGAAATTCTTATCAAACCAGATAAGAAAGACGAGAATAATGGGAAAACAAATCCATTATACTCCAGAAGATGAAATTGAATTCAAAATGCATATTGAAGAAATGTTGCAAAAAGGATTCTGTTCACCTTCAATGTCTGAACATTCTTGCTCGGCCTTTATTGTGGTAAAACACAGTGAAGAAAAGAGAAAGAAAAGCAGGATGGTTATAAATTATAAACACCTAAACAAGGTTTGTAATGCCATAGCATATCCTATTCCTCATAAAGGAAGCTTATTCCGAATGGTCACAAAAGCTTAGGTATTCTCTTCCTTTGATCTTAAAAGTGGATTTTATCATATTAAGATCCAGCCAGAATTCAGAAAATGGACAGCTTTCATAACTCCTCTTGGATTGTAAGAAATGAATGTTTTGCCTTTTGCATATCAAAACAGTCCACCAGAATTCCAAAATTTTATGGATAAAATGTTTAATCGATATAAACATTTTGTTATTGCTTATATTGATGATGTTTTAATCTTTTCAGAAACAGAAGAAGAAGATCTCAAACATTTAGCAGTAATAGCCAAGGTTTGTGAACAGAATGGTTTAGTACTTCGAAAAGAAAAAAACAAAAATGTTCCAAACAGAAATTGAATTTCTAGGATCTACTCTTGGAAAAGGGAAAATCCTGATTCAAGAACATATCTTTGAAAAGATATCAAAATTCAAGAATGAATTCTCTGAAGTAAAAGATGTAAGATCTTTTCTTGGACTACTTAATGTGGTTAGAGATTACATTCCAAACTTAAGTGATTTAGTTAGACCACTAACTAAAAAACTTAAAAAGGATGCTTTTGATTGGACACCTGACGATACAATCAGAGTAAAGAAAATCAAAGCATTAACAAAGAATTTACCTCCATTAGTTATTCCAGATAAAGAAGTTCAATGGAAGGTGTATTCAGATGCTTCAGATGAACGATGGGGAGGAGTACTTGCATTTTCAGAAAATGAGGGAAAAGAACAAGTTACTAAATTTGCCTCAGGAACCTTCACTGGTGCTCAGTTAAATTATTCCACTAATGAAAAAGAATTTCTTGCTGTAATAAATTCTATAAAAAGATTTGAATTGTTTCTTGCAGGAACAAGGTTTCATATCTTTACAGATAATTCTCCAACACTTGGATGGTTAAAAGGAAATATTCCCGCTAACAGCATTCAAAACAGAAGAATTTTACAATGGTATTGTGCTTTGTCATATTACTCATATGATTCTTTTAAAATTGCAGGAAAAAAGAATTTCTTGGCAGATTGGCTATCCAGGAATGGATAGAATACTCAGAAGGCTAATGGATGCTGAAAAAAGGGTTAAGGAATTAACTCTCCAAAACAATCATCTCCAAGATGAAAATACAGAATTGCACCAACAGGTAGAATTTCTAAACGAAATACTCCTTGCAAATGACTCTCAGAGTCCTGGTGATGTTGCATCACAACCGGCCATAATGGTCAAAAGTACTAGTGAAAGTCATGAGGATGACAAATCACGGTCTTCAGATTCAAGTCCTGAAGATGGTACCCAAACAAGTATCTTTCATGATACCCTTACTACTGGTCCAGTAGAAAAACAAGATTGGTCTCGCACTGATCTAATCTCTTTTGATAAGTCAATTGACGAACTCATTAGAGAAGCACAGTATGCATCCACACAGGAGCTTCATTCACAACCAGAAGAGATTTCCAGATCATATGGACCCTACTCACCGAAAGACAGACAGGTAAATATTCTTCAATCCTCTTTAGGACAAAAATGGGCAGATATTGTCGAAAAAGAAGAAGCAGAGGCATTAGATGCCAAAGCAAAAGAAGCTGCTTTAAAAAAGCCACGAAAGCAGAAAAAATTAAAAGTAAAGAAGAAAAGGCAATAATTGCAGCATCTTTACCTCAAAAGACCAGCCCAATAATAAAAGACCAGGCTGATAAAGAAAAGTCTGGTCCCAATAAAAAAGACAAGGACCATGCGGAAAAAGCAGATTCCAATCAACAGCTGGAATCCCGCACTAGTATCGTGATGAATATAAATCTCAAAAAGAAGATAAAGCAAAAGCCGTGGGTCGAGATGATATGACAGTCGAGGAGTGGAATTGGCAGCAGAGA